TTTTTATGCAGCCTGTGGAACGTAGGAGAGAGATGCCGGTTCATGTAGGGGGTTCTGCAAAAAGGCGTCACATGCGGTCACAGTGGGATCTCGCCGCGAGCGATGTCACGCTTTTGTCACGATATGGGCCCGGGAGATGTGCAAAATTGCCTCTCTATCTCGACACGCTCGTAATTTACTCTATCGGGCTGGTGTATTGTACTGTAGACGGCATATTCATGATATCCCAAGCCATTCCGCTGCAGTCCGTTGAGAGCATCACGAGAGATCTAGCGGACACTGTTTCTTTCCCATGGCCTACAGGACCCGTTTTCTCTCCCTCTCTTCAACCACAGCAGATATTCCCATTCTGACTTGGCAGAGGGTCTATTCTAGTGTATATATACCTTCCTGAGCTTACCCAACATTTTTTGGTTGAGTGTGGAATGAGATATAAGGGGGTGAGGGGGTTCTGCAAATTTTGCAGAACCCCCTCAATGATAGTACAGGATGATTCGTGCCGTGGAAGACGTCTTCGAAATGGCCTCGACTGCTCTGTCCAACCCTCGTGCCGGCCCTTGGCTTCCGTGCACTGCACCTGTGGCTTCATTCAGGGCGGCCGCATGGAGACGACTCGCTCAATTTCCCTTCCCGCGCCGCTGCCATGAGATATACCACTACCGTCCAGTTCGACGACATCGATGACTACGTCGCATTCCACAGAGATCGTGGCCTGACGATCGCAGGGTCTTCCACGGCCTTCTCAGAAGCTAGTTCTTCAGCAGTCTCGGCCGGGTGCTTGGAAGCCTCATTAAATCTGTCGGGATCAGGTTAGAGCGGCTACTCGATACCATAGGACAGCGTGTGCGTCTCGGCGCAAACGTCGTTGTCAAAAGAATGCTGCTAGATGCCGCCCCAGAGTACCACTGTTCAGCCCACCTTGGAGATGCTGCCAACCTGGACCTGACTTACCTCCGTGATCCGGCCGCCCCTACGGTAGAGCAGTTTATAGATCAGATATACAAGATACAGTGCATTGCCTGCCGGGAACGCTATCTCCATTTACTAGCCCAGAACACGAAAGGCTGTAAACGATTGGTACGGTTCTTACGGTGAGCAATGTATCTTATCATGATGCTGAATTCCAGTTGAAGACCGTCCTCAGAGGACGAAATGTTTTTTCCCAATACGCCGCCCTCAATCACATCAACTCGCTGCTGCACCTCAATGAGATGTTCGTTGACGTGTTCATGAATATGCACATCGCGGGGATCCTCCAAGCACTCTTACTCGACGTCTGCGCGGTACAGCGACAGCGACTTCCTCCTGCCTGCATCGCGCAGGGCACTTTTCTTTTTCGGCGACATGGAGGTGTCTAAAATTGTGGAGGAACTCAGATCAGTGGTGGGTTCCTCACGCTCCGTGGTAGAGACCAGGGAAATGGAGGAAAAGCTTGGACGTGAGCTCTTGGAGTTGACATTGTGAGAACACTGTTTCTCCCTGTATCTATGATTTGTGACCGGCGGACTTCAGGCGTCCCGACTGCAGGCTCCTTGCAGCCTCTTCAATCAATACGGCAGGCGAAGCGGTACAAAGGTCTCTCATGAGATCTTCCTCTGCTCTCCCACTGCTTCGCTCCTGGTGGGACGCCATGGGCTCGGGCGATGCGCTCGAGAGCGGGATTTTCACACAGATCTTCCACGACTTCTGTTTCTACCACTTCGGCAAAATCAATAGGTCCTATGCTGATACGCAGACGGCTCGTTGGGTATGGTCGTATTTGATACTCCCCGTCGTTGATGTTGCGAGACCGCGCAATAAGAACTGGTAGGGTATCCTTAACTTCCGGACCGACGGCAATGACTGACTCTTGGTTCCTCAGGCTCCACTTCTTCCGTGCATTCGAGACGGTGTACATGCACGTATTCGCTCAAGACGTACATTGGTCTTTGATGGGTGCCAGTTCTCGTGCAAAGACCAAGGCCACAACGAGAGGCCTAGTGGGTATTCTGCGCGATGATCCTCCCATAGAAACGGCTACGAAAGAACTTATCCGGAGGAATGAAGAGACCGTTGCTCATGGTGATATTCCGGTCCAGATCTACGCCCTCACCGAACATTTTCTGCGGAGACTTCTTAACCCATATCCTGCTTGGTTCAAAAAGGTACACTCTCGCATGCTAACCGAACATAAATGGACAAACTTGGAGTGGAAATCCATATGCGGTGATCTGATGGACATGCTTCGGCTGTGAGTACACTTCTACAAGGTATTTGGATCGCTCACACAAGTCGCATAGGGCAAGAAGACATGAGGAAGACTTTGAGACGATCGCGAGATATGTTCAGGAACATCCCGACTTATGTGATATTTTGCGCATAGCCGTAACTCAGCGGAAGGCGCAGCCTCTCATGGTGATCGAGGAAGAGAATATCCTCTGTCTCGAGGATAAGCTACGAGAGGCAGAACAATTGCAAGAGTTGATCATGTGGCCTTCAATCGTGGTGGACAGGCAGTGCGTGCCCTTTGAAGATGTGACCGTACTCAGTACATCCGATGGCTCGGAGTCCAGGTGTATTGACGTGATTGGGCATTTGATACGTAGTCCAGAGTGCCGCTTCATGGTGAGAATCATATTACTGGAGTACGTTACGGATCTCATGTTTTCTCTTTTGCAGCAATTCGCCGGAATAATTGATGATACATACACAACCCCTACGCCGGTCCCGACCAGCTCTCGTGACTTACCTTTGACCGGATTTGATCTCACGAGACCTACCGAGCAAGAAATGATCGACACGCTGAGGGCTCTCGCTGCATCGTATGATGTAGAATTGGTCTATGACGCAGGCTCCCTTTTCTGGCTGCATGTTCTAGATTGGGATCTCGTCAGCGATGCGGGAGGACCTTATGGCCTTGTTCACTTGCACCAAGAGGCGAACGCTTGCATTGGCAGGCGTGGCGACGAGTTCTTTGTAGTTCCGAGCATGCAGCCGCGGCACTTGCCTGCCGCAAGCGGTGCTGGGTTCCACCTACTTGTGGCACAACTACGCCGTCCCGAGCCTCGGGTGTACTGGAAATATGAGTGAGTCATGTGTCTTGATGTTAGATACATATTTATGTATCCCGCGCAGGATCGATGGAATGGAGTACAGAAAAAAGGCGTTGAGGAAGGAATGTTATGCAAGCCCAGACCCAGCGAAGTTGCCCCCTCGAAAGATTTGGACAGTTAATCGCCATAGGGTTTTGTCAGTTGTCCGTTTAGATCATTGATTGTTCGCGGGCATCCTGTGTGACGCCCGGATAATGCGGTTGCGAGGAAGAGGCGGTGATAAATTGGCAAAGACGACAAGGTTGTCGAACACCTCGGGCGAGAAGACGAATGACAGGGCTATATGGAGATAGAATGGAATGCAGGACCGCCAGGTAATATACGCGACACTTATTATAAGGTTTGTTTGTGCCATACGGTATGCGGCGCTTGTAAAGGTGTGCCCCTCGTGTAGAATCGAATATTATACTTGTACCCAGGACTTGCGTACGACGCTCGGGATTGATGGACTGCATCTTATACTGGACTGAGCAAGTGTGATAGGCTCGTGCTCGTCACAATAAGGAAGTACACTATGTTCTTGCATCCGGATACATTTGCAGTGGTTTCGACTTGGAATCAGACCTATCCGTGGCGTTATCGACTCTTTTTTCCCCGTCTCCCACCAATGAGATAACTGACGAACGTGGCGGGGATTTCACGATGATCCATGCTGTGGGATATATAGCAGCTTAACTATGCTTATAACGAGAGCGCGCTATTTTTGTGCCACTTAATGAGTAGGTAAATGATTATCAAGTCGGGTTACGAAATTGTGGCTGGCTTGTGGCAAAGAAGATGGGTCTACACCCACGTGCAAAGCACCGCCACCACCGTCGACCCATCTCGCATTCGAGTCCGGGTTTCCGATTGGGGTAACAAAAGCCTATGATGCGCACGAGGGGAATGACATTGTATCTTAGCGTCTTTCAATTCCGACCGTGCACTGTCTTCCCCCTCGCTCCAGTTGCCGTGTCAGTCGGCTCTGATGGCACAACGTGATGAGTGTCGACTCTGTCGAGCGGTCGAATCAGGTGCGCTGCGCGTTGATGAGGCGTCGCTCGTTACACGACGATGACGCGTCGCTCGTTACACTCACGGCCGCGTCAACATCCACGCCTCCAAGAGACTTCCCTCAACGTCGACATCCTCGACGCTACATTGTGTTGTACTTGGTGCGAAAACAAACATGGCTAGCATCGTGCTTCCGAAGGGGTGAGCACTGGCCCCGCAACGCGTGCCAGTTGACACTGACGGTACACATAGATTCACCTATGTGATCGCCTCGGCTTTCAGCCCCGTCTGGGTGCTGATCTGGCAAAGCACCAAGGTTGCGCAGGCACGCAGTGCCGCGGGTATCAAGTATCCCCAGCGTACGTCCCTCCAATACACATTCTCGCTCGTAAGGATTGACGGGCGCATGGTGATGGGCAGTGCACGCGGAAAAGGCGGAGGCAGAGGCGGCCAGAAATGCACATGTGTTCAATTGTGTACAGCGTACGACTCGATGTTCTCTCTTCATGCGATCAGCTTCTGAGGTATTGACCAGGCGCACACCAAAACACCCTCGAGAGCCTGCCCATAGCAGTCATCGGGTGTGTCTCGCCGCACTCTCCTCCCCCTTTATTCTGTTCTAACATCACGCCGCGCATACAGCACCCTCGTCACCGGTCTTCGGTTCCCCATCCTCGCCGCCTCTCTCGTGGGCACCTGGACGCTCGCGCGCGTCTTGTACACGCGTGGGTACGCGACGGGCGATCCTGACGAGGTTCGTCTCTCGCCACGTTTTACGAACAGAGGGGGGAGAGAAGCTGATGGTGTATTGTATTGCTCAGCGTACGTACCCCGGAGGCGCGCTCACGGCGGTCGTGCAGTTCGCGTTGGCTCTCGCGGGGACGTGGACCGTTGGAGAGTTCGTGTGGGCGGAGCTGCAGTGATTGATATGTACGTGCAAGCGCGAGAATGGAGAGAGGGGGCACAGACCTAGTACGTCAAAATGTATGATACTCTACGATCCTAACCCTTGATTACGAGGAATAGGATGTCAGGTACCCTGCATGAATAATCCGGTCTGCTGCGGTGCTTGGAAAATGCTCAGAAGAAAAGCGGTCGCGTGGCTTTGCAGCTTATGGATCCCGAAGAGCTGTGGCCTGGATAGTCGTCGAATAGGGATGGGATATGGGTCTTAACTTGGGAATGTGGCGGGTGGCGGCTGATAAGGGACTAAGTGGCTCGCCACAACGCTTGGACTTGGGCTTGGCAACCGATGGAGGTGCCACAATTGCCACACGGCGTCCTCGTATATAAGCCTATGGACTCTTTGATCATCAGTGAGTACATAAACTCATCCACATCCCGCAGTACACCAGCTCGTTATTGCTCACTGCCGTGTTGTTAGCACAAGGTCCGCCGCATGGTCTGCCTTCATACCCCTCCGTCATTAGCTAACGAAGATCATCGCTCCAGCTCCATCAGCCCTTACTTCTATTCGCAGCATGAGCCACTACACCCCCGACCAACTCGAACTCGTCCTTACCAACATCGAGCGGGACACCGAGGACTGGGAGAAGACCGCCCCGCCGCTCCTCGACGAGGAAATCGCCGACCCCGCGTGGCCCGTCTCCGCCCAATCCACAGAGGTCGCAGCATCCATCTCCGCTCCGGGCGACCTCGAGCCCGAAGCCTTCGTCGCGACACACGCGGACGCGCGCGGGTGCCCGTTCGCCTTCGTCCGCGCGCTGCGGCTCTACATGCGCGTGGTCGCGCTCAAGGTCCCTCCCATGATCGGGGAGGAGAAGGAGAAGATGCTGGTTGCGCTGAGGAGGTACGAGAGGACGATGGAGCGTGTGGTGTGGCGCGCGATGCTGGAGCTGGAGGTGGTCGAGAGGTACCATGTGGCGTTTTGCCGGCGGCGGCTGGGGCTGGACGGGGAGGAGGAGGGGGAGGTACGGGAGTGGGGTGCGGTGGAGGGGCAGGGAGGAGAGGCGTGGAGGAAAATCGATAGGGAGCTGTTGTGGGAGAAGATACATGAGGTCGAGGCGAAGAGGAGCGCGTAGAAAACCTTGTATTCGTGCCATTTCGTGGCCAGGACACTTGAAGTTGTGTTGTTCGCTCTCGTACTTGTTGGCAGATTGACGTATCGGCTTATTTTCCGTAATTCATCGTTGTGGTCCTATAATGCGTTCCAATCAATATTGTTCCGTTTCGGCCGTCAGTGGCGGGGGAACGCTAGCGGCCACAAACAAGCGAAAACAAGAAGCATCACGGCAAACGCCGAGAGACGGCCCCTGTAAATTGTGGCTGTGGACCTTGCATTGCGTCATACCCGTTCGTCCCTGGCCATCATGTATATGGTGTCTGTCAATGAGGCTTGCTTGCATCCGTCCTCCTCCTATACTACGTTCTGCACTTGAACTTGATCACCCTCCTCGACGAAAGTCAATATGGCTGCTCAGCACCACTGGGACGACACGCGCGAGGCGCTGTTGCACGGCGAGCGGACGGTCGCGAAGCGCGTGCGGAGTGTGTGGAATGGGTTCACCGGTACGCTGTCGGTAGCTCGAGATTGGTGGGATGTGTCGCTTACGCCGACTGGTTTGTAGAGTTTGCGCTGAGGGATAATGTGCTCGAGGTTGCGGTTGGTTTGATGTAAGGCGACTACGCATGAAGAGACGCGAGGAAGTCAGTTCTGAGTACTTGATAGGATTGCGTCGGCGTTCACGACCGTCGTGAACTCCCTCGTCTCGGATATCCTCCTGCCTCCACTATCCCTTTTGCCGTTCATGGACCACAAGAACCTCCCCGAGAAGTTCGCCGTCCTCAAGCGCGGCCACAACGCGACCGCGCATTACAACACGCTGAAGCAGGCGGAGGACGACGGCGCGGTGACGCTTGCATACGGGTCTGTTTCGTCCGCTTTGATCTCTCGAGCGCGGGCTGATACGTCCTAGGTTGTTCCTCGAGCACGTCCTGAATTTTGTCGGGCTTGGGTTGGTGTTGTATGCGTTAGCAAATATATACGCCGTGGTGTCGAAGGACTCGATTATCAAGCATACAGTGAGGTGCATATATTGTAGGAAGGAGATCTCCCAGAAGGTGGGTGCCCATCGGTTCTCGGATGATGGAAAAGAGGGACTGAAATACGAATGTATAGGCCAAACGGTGCGCGTTCTGTACGGGGTGGCAAGATGGTAGGGAAGATAGGGAGACGAGCGCTCTGTGAGCAACGACCAGCAGTCGTTGCATGCCCATTGGGTCCTGCTTACGAATTTCACGACTGTTGCTGTATCGATATGCCGAATGTCTCAATTATTCATCCCTTCTTGTTTCCATGATGGAGTTTCTCAATTCGCATAAGCCCTCCTATACGACTCAGATGCGGTATAACGTTCTGACGCACCATTATGACCTGATGATCCACAGATTCTTGCTTCCAGCGCCTTCAATGTTTCCTCCGTACAAGATCGCAAGCCACAAACCGTTATTTCTCAGGGTTACGCTTCTCACCGGCGGTGCTGCTGGCTAAGGAAACGGATCGAGCGCGCATAACGGCTTATGTACGATAGGTGTGGACTTTTAGATCCCTTCAAGAAATTAAATTGAAGGGGAGAGAAAGAGACAGAGTAGGGAAAGACTCTCCATTCGGGCCCTGTGAGCTTCAGAAGCGGTATAATATCGATAGGGTATACTGATGCTATACTCAGGGATTTACAGTCGACTCTGTCTTAACCCATACCTGTGATAACCCATAACCTGTAATAACCCATAGGTTTTTGGCTTCCACCAACATGGTAGATAGTAAAAACCCATAAGTCTGCCGTATCCCATAACCCATAGCTTTTTGGAGGGTCATAACCCATAAAACAACCTATATTAGGAAGGTACAGGTCTCCTTCCCACGAGAATCTGGACCATCTGGACCCTTAATTTTTGGTTCTCGTGGTATTTCAGAAGATAACCCATACCAGACTCAAGATTCCGTATCTAAACGGTGTCATAAACGACGTCCGGCCTATACCGGATAGGCTGTCTGTCACGCGTACTAGGTAGTCACACAATGTCACACGTTCTGGTAACCCATAGTCTGCAGAAACCCATAACTTTTGGGTTCCACGACCCGTTATGGGTTAAGACAGAGTCGACTGTACCGCGACCCGAAATATCCCTCGAGGCTATATAGCTTCTTTGTTTCCACGCGCATGTCCTCTGGATCACATTCCTGGGTTCGACTTGAAACACATTGGTGACGCCGGCAGTAACTGTCCTTGCGCATACGTGGGAAGGTCACGTGCCAATGTCCTAAGTTCGCAGCCACAATTGAATTCCGCCACTGAACCTTTCTTTCCACCACGAGTTGGACGCCTCCTCATCAGTAGGATCCGCCATGTTGAAGTTGAAATTCAAGAAAGTCGACGACCTCTGGACCGTAATTCCATCGTAGGCCTCACCTTGCAACTTCTACTGCTCCTAGTGACTCTATCGGGCCTTTCCACAGTGGTACGAAGAGTCTGACGAAGCATTCATCCTCCCAATCTAGAGATGCTTTTAATGTACGATCTACCCATTCCCCCATACACATCGCGACTGACCCTTTGGCTTGCCCTATCGTCTCAGCACAACTCTGTGTGTCCACCGAACCAACTGCCGCCAGAGATACTGGGAAACATATTTCAGCTTGCTCTCGGAAACGACTATAGCGACAGCGTGATTTCCATTACGCATGTGTGCCGCTATTGGCGTGATGTGGCTTTGGGTGATCCGAGTCTGTGGCGCAAACCCGCGAGTTCCTGTCCCGAGCTCGTGACGCTGATAACGCAGCGCAGCAAGAACTTAGGTCTTGATCTAGTCATCAACACGGTTCTTAGGGATGGCATTCGGTCACGGGACTACTTCCCCACCAGCTACAATTACGAACATGCTATGGAGTGCAAGCTGGCTTATGTCGCACATGCCGCTTCCCTCACCCTTGTTGTTCACGACAAGATGGACGGATTCCCTTCATACGTGATGCAAAATCTCCGGACTAAAGCCCCACTTCTAGAGTCTCTGACCATTGGCACTATGGAGGTCAAGGTACCTTTGAACTTGACCTCCCTACAGAGTTACTTCCCAAGGCTCAGTCGCCTGACAATCAGTAGGCTCGTCTTCTCGCGCACTTCTGGGATGTTCGGAAGCCTCACGTGCCTAGATGTGTGTTCAAATGACGGCCGGAAGGTTATGGATGCTCTGCAGGGCGCTCCTCTACTTAAGAAGCTCATCCTGCGTAGCTCGATGTCATCACCGTGCAAGGCGGACAAGGACGCCGTCGCAAGGCTTCCTCACCTGGAAGAATTTTGCATGAGAGGTCTCTCGCCCTCCATGTGCATAGATTTTCTATCCCATTTAATTGTCGGTCGACCAGTCAGCCTGATCCTGCGGTGCGACCACGACAACACCGAGCCTGCGCAGATGTCATCGGCCGCTGAGGTGGCCTGGCGGTTCCTCACGGCCAACCATCGCACCGTCTATCGCTTTGCCGAAGTCCATGCCGGTGATGACATAGTCTGCATACTCCGGCCTCTTCCCCCTGCACCTGGTGTTACACATAACCCGGCTACAACCCACTTCCGTATAGATCTGGACCAAGGAAGGGCCTACCTTCAGGAGTGGCACCATTACCTGCCCCTGGGAGACGTGGAAGTTTTGCGCGTCCACGAACATATGTTGGCGCGCCGCGATCTTCCTGATTGTTGGGAAACAACCGGACTTGCGAATAAGTTCAAGTACATGAACCAAGTTGAATGCCTGGAAATCACCGACAACGTCGCTCAGCACCTCATCCCGCATCTCGCAACGAAAGCACGACCGAGCGACCCAGGCCACCCCGCGTTGTTTCCTCGTTTGCAGCGTATCCACTTATACATGGAAGAAACGCGCCGGATCCTGTATTGCGAGGAGGAAGGTGTAGTGGATATCTATGAAGGTGTCTTCGACGTTATGGAGAGCTACGTGAATGAACGCCAGCGGGAGGGGGACGAGATCGCGGAGCTGTGGATACACGCCCTGCCCGTCACATTGCAGAGTGACGCGCTGGACGCGAGATTCAGGGGTCTCGTCCGCCAGCTACGCTTTTCTCATTCTCGCATGGAAACCTCTTCGTGCCCCGATTTCAGCAGGGGGCAGTAATTATAATAATACGCGCGGCACCATTAAAACCATTCCTGGAAAGACGGTGTACGCTTTGCAAAGTGCACGGAAGTACGAGCGGACCATGGAGCGCGGGCGGGGCAGGTGGTCGAGCGGTATCATGGAGAGTTTTGTCCGAGATGGATGGGGATGAATCGTATGAAAGACTGGATTAAAAAGTGGGAGGAGCATACGCCTCGGATATAGCTGAGGCGTAAGAACCTCGATAGGGAGCTGCTGTGGAAGAAGCAACGTGAGGTCGAGGCGAGAAGGAGCGCTTAGATACTGCTGCACTCTCAGTTATGAGTATGCACGATATGACAGTCATGAGCTGTCACTATCTTTGTTTCATCTGTATGTTTAATGCACCCTCATATTCTAGTTTGTATATCTTCCGGCTTCCGAGAGCGTCCAAATGCATTCATTAGTCGTAGCATCATGCATAAGATTATAATGCCCACAACCCCGTCACCCATCTCTACTACGTGACATTACACGAACCTGGGAGAACAAATCCTATCCAGTCGAATGGCGCGCCAATCTCAAGGCCACACTACTATCAATCTAGTAACCCTTGCCCTTGCACGCCACTGCCATTTGTTTGTTCAAGCTGGCCATTGCACCGGTGGCGCCGGTGGCTGAGGAGATACCTCGGCAAAGTCCGTTTCGATCGGCACATTCATCCTGCGCGTCACGTCCGGCACGCTGCCAGTGAGATCCCCCGCAAACTGCACCATGGACTTGCCTGTCCTTGCGTTCCACCCCCACTCTGTCCCTCGTTCTACGCGTTCATATATGCGTCTAGCTTTATAGTTATATAATGCTTCGCTCTGCTGTGTGCCGGACGTTTCGGAAGGTCTCTGCTCGTGCGTACTCGAGCGCGTCGGGAGCGAAATCGAGCTCGCGAGGGCTGAAGGTTTTGAGAAGGACGGGATACGTGGCTGCTGCCCTTGGAGGCGTAGCGCTATGGGATAATACCCAGAACGCGTCGGCGCTCACGAGAACCTGCAGGACTCTGTGGACAGTGAGTTTTCTGGTCGTGTCCTAGAATTGTTGCGGGAATATGCCTTTCGAACCTGAATTCCGGAATGTGGCCGCTGGAAAGCACGTATGAGCTACTGCGAACGGGAATATTTCTGTGCCGTCGATTCACAGCGACTCATACGTTCTACAGAAGGTCTGCTAGGCGTGTTCGGCGCCGAGTCATACCGGACACCAGTGTCGTTGGGAAGAGTGCGGTGGTACTAACGTGAAATTCAGTGTAGCATGATTGCCTTCGACTACAAGTGGAACTTCAATCCTGAGCACGGAAGCGAGATACCCCAGATCCACCAGCGCACAGCTGAACGATTATATAACCTGATCACAGCTAATGGCGGCCTATACATTAAAATCGGTGCGTGGACGGTTCTTTACGATATGGTACCGTTTGAAGCTGAGTGTCTCACATTCGTTGAGTAGGCCAAGCGATAGGCGCGAACGCGGCTGTCCTCCCTCCTGCGATGCAGGAGATGTTCACTAGACTCTTCGACGATGCCCCGCAAATACCCTTTTCCGCCGTCCAGTCCGTCATTGAGTCACAGTTCCGCCACCCACTATCTGGTCCAGACGGCATCTTTGCAGAGTTTGAAGAGCAGGCTATTGCCAGCGCGAGTGTTGCGCAGGTCCACCGTGCGCGACTAAAGAGCGGGGAGCTGGTCGCCGTGAAGGTGCAGAAACCGCACGTCCGTAGACAGTCGGAGTGGGATCTGGGTGCGTATGCGGTGGTTATTTGGCTGTACGAGAAGACGTTCGATCTGCCCGTCTACTTCACCGTTGGTACGTTCCGAAGCCCTTTCTTTGTCTGCTCCTGTCTCACTCAGCACAGACTTCATATGTGACCATCTCCGCGAGGAGCTCGACTTCGAGCGCGAGGCGACGAATGCCATCCGTACAGCAGGGTTCATCGCATCAGAGCCGCGACTGCGAGACCGCGTCTATGTCCCGAAAGTCTACCCCGAATACTCGAACAAGATGGTCATGACCGCCGAATGGATCGAGGGTGTCCGCCTGAGCGACAAGCCCGCCGTGCGGCGGCTGATGGGCGAAGCCCTGCCGTCAGACCTGGAGAAACTCGCGCAGCGCACGTACCGCCCCTCGTCCATCGACCCCGATCTACGGCTCGACGGCGGCGTGAAGGCGATCATGCAGGCGATGGTCGAGCTGTTCAGCGCGCAGATCTTCCGGTGGGGCTGGCTGCACTGCGACCCGCATCCGGGGAACTTTATCGTGCGGCCGGACCCCGCGCACCCGCGGCGCGCGCAGCTCGTGCTGCTCGACCACGGGCTGTACGTGCGCCTCGCGCCCGAGTTCCAGCGGCAGTACGCGGCGCTGTGGAAGAGCCTGCTCACGCAGGACCTGGAGGCGGTGAAGGAGATCGCGCGGGGGTGGGGGATCGGCAGCCCGGATTTGTTCGCGAGCGCGACGCTCATGCGCCCCACCGGGTTTGACCCGCAGAAGTTGAAGGAGATGGAGGAGATGAGCGAGTATGAGCGCAGTCAGATTATGACGCAGAAGCTGAGGGAGTTTTTGGAGGATACGGATAAGATGCCGAAGGAGCTTATATTTATCGGGAGGAATATAAGGTACGTTGGGATTCCCGGAGCCCTGTTTTTTACGCGAGCTGACAGAATTTCCTACAGGCTTGTACAGGGTTCGTACAGGATCTTACACTGCATGGTAGACATGACGCGTTGCTGACTTCAGTACACAGGTAATAACCAGTCCTTCGGTTCGCCAGTCAACAGACTCAAGATAATTGCGTCGTGGGCCTCGGACTCGCTCACGAAGGCGCCAAACCTGACCCCGACGCAGCGGATCAAGGAGCACGTCCTCAACGGGCTGTTCAAGCTCGCGATGCTCTCGCTCGATGTCGCCTTTTGGATACGGCGCATCCAGCAGCTCGTCAGCGGTGTCTTAGGTATCAAGAGCTTTGGCTTCGAAGATGATTTGGAGAGGTTTATGCGGGCGTTTGCGAAGAGCAATTTGGGGATGGATATGGCTGCCGCTTCTTTTCAGGGATAGATTACGGTGTGAGTACGCTGTCTGTGCTCGAGACTGAGATGGCTTAATATGTCGAAAGAACGTTCTAGATTACGCGTACTACTTTGAACAGCATTAATATTGTCAGGGTAAAAGGAGTAATATGTTGATGATGACGCTACTGTTCCAGACGGCAGTCTAGACTTCAGACATCTCATCTGCACCGGGCGTACGGTGTGTACTTAATCTGGTTTAATTTTTTAGGCGGACGGTTGAAATCCCAGTCACCCTGTTCACCTTAGGCGTATCCTCAATAGTAAATGCATGAACTCTCGAAGGATAGTCCTCTTCCTCTCCTCGACCGTAGTGTCGATGTTATTGGAAGGAACGGCGCCGCCCTTTTCTATCGACCACACCACAACCGCTATCCAAAGTAAATAAGTGCCCTTTTGAGCTGGAGATTTGTGGAGAATCCTCAGAGCGGCCGCCAAGGTGAAAGAGAGTATCGCATGTTGTTTCATATTTCAGAAAGGAGTCTCCTATCGCCGCTGGGGCGTTCAGCGGAACCCTCGCGCATACGAAGACAGACCAGACCCCGCACCTCTTGGAGCGCTCTGTTATGGCTCCATATTTATCGTTCTGACAGTGATGAACATCGTGGAATTCATCTGACATACGTCTAACAGGCTCAGTCTGAGATACAGGTGACAAGGTGTCTGAAACAAACTTTATGTATGACTCTACTCGGAGAGCAAGGGAAGAGAGCGGACCAGCAGAATAGCAATAAGAAGATTACAAGCTAAGGCACCTTTTACCCGCGCACAATGCGGCCACCTTACGCGCCGTCCACAACAATTTCCCATCGAACTTGGCCCAACCGTCAAAGACGCCGCGGCGCATCTCCTCGCTTCTGGCCTCGAAGAAAGCCATATGGTACTCCAGCACCACATCCCACTCGCCCGGATGCGTCCACACGAGGTCTCTCAAATTCCTGATATACCTTTTTCCCAACGAGATGACGCGCGGCTCGCGCATCGCCAGCAGGGAGAAGTACGACATCAGCGGGAGGTAGACCGTCTCAGGCGTCGGGTACTCCTCCAGCCAATTCGGCGTCGGGCGCCTCTGCCAGTCGCGCATGACGCGGTAGCGCACCTCGCCGCGGCGCACGGGGTCGGGATCGAGCTTGAACAGCTCCCATGGCCGGAAGGTGAATTGGACGACAGAGGCCGCTTCTTCGTCGGTGATGGCAAGCTGATCGGTGTGGCCGCCGCGCCACCAGCGGCCGTGGGGGTTGTTCAGGAGTGAATTGACGATGAGTCTCGACTCTTCAAGGTATCTTTTCTCGAGGACCTCCCGTTTTGTTATTATCGCGGCTTCTTGGGGGACCTGGACAGGGTCGCTTTGAGTGTTCAGACGTAAGTGATCGAGTGGTCCCGGAGGGCGAGATAGGCCGCGGGGCTCGTGCGTCGAGTATGGTGGTTCGTTCTTCGACGTATTGCGGTTCGCCACGTATGGCGGTGTCGGTACGTATGCACCTAGTCGCCAGGCCCTGGGCTGGTAACCGTTCTGCGGTTCGGGTGATAGTTCGCGAATGATTGGTGCCAACAGAGCCGCGAGAGCCTCCAGATCCTCTTGAGAGAACCGAGACGTAGCATTGGCGATTCTTGTCCGTGTATTCGAGGAATGCATTATGGCCATGTAATCTTGCAGGATGGTTTGGATCGTATGAGGTTCGAGAGAGAGGTTGGAACGGCTGAAATCACCGGTATATAGTGCGCTATTATGGTAGAGCTGCTCGGGGTGGTAAATTCAGTCCATGCGCTAGAGTTTAAATATTGCCCGTCAAAGCGTGGTGTGGCGTGTGGCATCGGCAAAGCGTTTGGCGTGGTCCAAGCGGCGGCGCAATACACCAAGAAAGGACAGACACGTGCTTCTTGCACTTGTTCGTCCGGCTTCAGAGGAAGTTCATTATTAAGAGATCCTTAAGGACTCCTATGTAGCGGCTGTCTATTGTGTCGGGCATGTCACAGTCAGTTATAACTTATAACTGATAGTGACAAGCCCGACATAGGTTACACCGCGAGTGGCGATGGAGCTAGTTCTGCTGCCCTTATGACTGCAACATCTTTCATGGTGTTGAAGTGGCATTGACCTAGGGGGTCGGGGCAGGCCGGTGACCTCAGAAATGTCGCACCCGTTCAATTCCGATATGTTGAACAAGGACCCCGGCATACTGGTATATATGTCCGTTCCTGAGGGCGGACATAACAGCCGTTTGCAGATCGTTAGGCCATCACTTCAGAAAGTCACATATAGTCGGAGTTTGTCGGACATGGTGCCAGGGACGTCCCAGGAATTAAAAGGAGTCCAAATGGTCTGATGTTGGGGCCTTGAATTCCCCTCTCCGACATGGTCCGACTGTAAATAATTTTCAAGAAATGGGCCCATCGAACTGCAAACGGCTGAAATGCCCAATTTTGAGGCCCTATGTCGGATCAATAGGCGGACGTAAAGCCCAAAATTTAGTCCGGTGAGACCGCGGACAGGAAGCCCTTGCCCGCCTGGCGGACGCATCGAGTTGAGTCGGAGGCATCCAAGAGGCGTCAACGCGGCACACTAGGCCACCCATTAGTTGGGTGGCCTCTTATGCTACTCAGTCGACTGCCAGCCCATTTCATGTACATCCTCCGAGTCAGCAATATTAATGTGTAATCAAATGCAAGCTTTAGGAAGACTGAGGTCAGGTACCCCGGAGGGATCACGTCGCGGTCTCGTTGCAGCGTGTGACGAGTGCCGGTTTCGATGTCCGATCGTTTGGCGGACATACCGGTGGGTATCCGAGCATAGACCACCTAGGCGGGCATACGGGGCCCAATTTGGGCTGACCAGATCCTTTATGCGGACACATCCAGTCCAAATGTATGCGGACATACAGGCCCAAAATCGGCCATTTAGGATCGGACATCAGTATCCATATGCCGGGGTCCTGTTGAACACCCAGTACTGCACATGCAGTCCCCGCCCTCATCCCGACAGAGCTGATGATTAAACTAGTTTTAGTACTATATGTGTGTTTGGCCGTCACCAGCTTGGAAGCCGTGCACCTTCCTGCGCATCCGAGATTGTAGGATCGTGCTGTATAAATATCATGTTTATACAGTGGATGCAACGAGTACATGTGGACTCCTGCGTGTAAGACTAAGGAGAGACCTATGATCCCGTCAACTAATCAAGTAATTACCGCCTTATTCATGTAGGAGTTGCCGACAGTGATAGTACAACTTCGACCTTTACCACTACACGATCTAACCGACTCTACGGACCCGGAGCGGCATTTTGCAGCCAACTTCCCCTGTAATCGTGGGACGCGGCAAAATGGATGTCTTACTCTCTATTCTGGTTCCAGGCCCGTCCCGTAATTGGAACGTATAGCTCCGCACCAACACGGACAACACGGCCTATCGGCGGGCATCAGTCCAGCAGTTACACGCGAACTGGGCGTGCCTCCGTACCTTAATCTCAGCTAAGGCGAAACCTCTTCCAATGCATTTCCTTGGCCCATCGATAAATGTCAGTAGGTGCCGATGTCCTTGGACTTCCTTAGCTTTTTTCGGTATGCAAGCTTCGTCCAACCATCGCTCTGGTGCGAATTCTTTGGCATCCGAACCCCAGATAGCGTCCGAGCGATTCATGCAAGCAATTGGGATAGTGACTTGAGTGCCCTTGGCTACAACGATGCGGTCAACAACGTTCCCTGAAGCCGTCGTGATAGGAGTGCTGAGAGGAATAACATCGTCTTCAACGGCCTGAAAGGTGTGAAATCGGCGTCAGAAACAGTGGAGGTCAAAGTCCTTGCGGCCCGAGACGAATGTCATGCGTACCACACGCCACGTCTCGTCTAGAGGCGGGTGAAGCCTTAGGATCTCGTGGACTACGGCATCGAGATATGGCATATTGTTCGTCAGCTGGTCCCAGGTCGGGTCCGAGGTGGGGAAGCTGGTTAAGAGTTCTTCCCTCAACCTAGCCTGCTTGTCTGGGTGTCTTGACAGCTCAATCAGTGACCACTTGGATCACTGTCAGTGACGGCTTAAGAGAACGAGAGAAGTCCCTCTCGTACAGTGAGAGTAGCTGTGTGACAGAATACAGCCCCGCGTGAGTATACTGGGCAGCGAAGTGGAGGGCTGGAAGGTACAGACTAGAGGTCGACTCGTAACCACCAAGGAGCAGTGCCTTCATCTGCAAAAGGCTTAGTATACGAAGGGAACGATCGGAAATGAGGGGTATACCTGAGATATTACTTCTTCCTGCGAGTATCCGGCACTCGAGGCAGCGTCGCCAGCTCTCACTGATTAGTCAAAATCAGACATAAATATGCATGCGGTGTGCGTCTCAACTCACTGAGAAGACCGATGACGGAATTATCCTCAGGCTTGGCGTTCCCGTCACTAGCCTTCCTGGCCCTCTCCATCATCTCATGCGAAATGTCGGCCATGCTCTCGTTCAAGCTTTGTACCAGTTTACCTCGCGCAGTGGGTACCCGGCGTAAAACCGGGAATATTGGTTCTAGGAGAAAACAAATCATCGCGAAAAAGGAAGGTCGTACGATGCTGAAGGCATCGATGATCTCAGCTATGGTAAGATGGTTCCCATAGAGCGTGCCGAAGTCGTGCGAGAATCCAGCTATCCCGATACTGTCCAGTCTAATGAGAATACGAGTCAATATATAACTTCATTGGGAATCCGTTACAGTTGGACTTACGAGACGCGGTTCGTCCTAAGAGACTGCCTGTTCAGTGGTCGCTGGATACAAGAGGGGCGGTAGTGCTTACCAGTCTTGCACATCGATCACAAGCTCTGCAGACCCACTATCTTCAAACAAAGCATCCCAAGCGGTCTTAACCTAGGATGCCGCGGTACACGTCCTGTTAATAGCGGTCCACTTGATTGTAGGACAGCGCACCTTATACCCCGAGTCGAAAAAGATGTGAGTCAAGTTGCGCAGTGCAGAATTACTGAAGGCAGGAGAGACAGTCCGGCGTTGCCTTCGGCAGGGGCTGAATATTAAACCGTGCTCACTTGATTGAGATAAAGCCTACCTCCTGTGGTCTTCGCCCTCAGCCCAGAGAAGTCCATGGCCAACCTTGTAGGTAGTCAGCGAGAGTCTGCGCCGCACGAACCAAGGACGATATCTCACAATCTTCTCCAGCGCAAGCCTGAGATACGTTGTCTTTTGATAAATAGTGGTCTCCTTGGAGTAGTAGTGGGACAGAGCTTTCGGATCGGCAAGCACTACTTCGCGAGAACCAAGGACGGAAGGCAGATGGAATACCGGTCCATACGCAATGACCCACTGTTCGAACATGTCGATGGTGTCGGATGAGAATGACATATATTTGCGGATACCCCATAGGAAGCTTTGACTAGGAGGACCTCTCAGAGGCGTGCTACGGCGCCGACGACGTAGCGCACGGAAAATTTGGTATAATAGCAACGCGACCACTGCACAAAGCAGCAAGCCTGCAGGGTTGAGGTCCTGGAAAGTAGCTTTCGCCATACTCTGCGGGAAAGACAGGACAGGTGGGGAACTAGAGGACTTCCGGGAACCGGTAGATTTATACGTCTTGGACACCGAGAGATTTCACATCGTGTATTAGCCTAGTACCATAGTTGCACGACAGTCACATGTAGCACAAACAACCCCTGGAGCACGGTTACCGAGAGCGGGGCGCTGCTATAGGACCCAGTAATTAATTACATGGACAAACAAAGAGGATGACGCACCTGGACCCGGCCAGGAGCAAAAATACAGCGTTGTATGACCAGCTTGCGACGTGATCCAGGGTCTGACTTTCGCCACTCAGGCACAGCTGCTCATCCAGCAGCACTGATCCCACTCCGTGCATCGTTGATCATCGCGGAGAAAGCAGGACTCGCACGAGAGCTAGCTTTAAAAATCTTTATTTCCTGTCTGTGAACGCTGCATCTTGCGCCCGAAGGAGTGATCTCTCATCTTAGCGAGCCACCGGGCGCCGCTTCGGACAGGATAAAAGAAGCATGTCTATAGACCGTGGAACGCCCGCTCGATAAATCCGCCAACTAGCGGGCGTGGCGCGCTCAGACATAACCTTCCGTGGCAAGAATGACGGCTCGCTGCACCGCAATCAACTGTCAACTATAACCATATCGTACCGCGGGAACAAGGGATGACAGAAAGTCGCAATGCCTGAGGTCTGAGGACTAGAGGCCTGCGCACGATCTTCGTAGAAGTCACGGTTGCCGTCGAGGTCATTGGCGTAATCCTCCAGAGCACGCTTGTACGTCATGCCAATCGGTAGGTAGGCATGCGCGATGAAAAAGCAATTGTCTTTAGAATCGCTAATAGGCAGCCATGGGAGCATAATCGTACCTAGGGTATGCCGGTGGCGTGTCGATGGAGTCGACATTCCGATCCCAGGCCGTCACCATGCTGCCATCGGAACCGAGAGTTACTATCTGACCTATCTTCTTATCTTCGGGTTGATCTTGAAACTGGAATGGGAGAGTTCCCTCGGGTCCGAGCATTCTCCAGAGCTGTTACCCGTGCTCCGGATAGAGTTTGCTAACTGCTTTGTAGAGTATACCATGTGTTGTTCTTGGCTGCGTAAATAGGCACGGTCGCTTCCCAAGGTTCGCGCGATTGCAGCATTTTCATGGAGTCGTGGGACCGCCGAGTAATCTTGATTTGCCGAATGGCTTTCGGCATCGTACAAACTAAGGGGCCGGGATAGGACAAGGGTGCAATGTCAGTAAGCACGAACTGAATATAGACTTCACCGCTCATCTCCTAGCGGTCTTTGTGCGATGTTCCCCTTGCTCTAAGCACGAAACTCTGTCAGGACCCTACACCTCAGTCACAAGACGCAAGGGCCTGACCCTGGCAGGGTCCAGCTGTGATTATTAGTGGCAACAGGAACTTCGGAAGCGCGTGAGAGACGAAATGTAGAACCTGAAATAACCAGATGACAACCCAGGGCGAGTCGCAGACGGAGGCCGCGGCCAAATAGATATTGCCACGTAACCACAAATATAGTTGCAGATCAACATCTGCAATTGAGATTGAGGAAGTCATTATAGACGTTTTAGCTCTGACCTGCCAGCGAGTTTATTGGACGTCGGGAGTACACGCGAAGCTCAAGAGATCCTACAAATTGTCCGATCCTATCAGCAATAGTAGTCATTACCGACAAACGCTACCGCTCCTCCATCTTAACGTCACCCTCAACCTCCGGAGTGCCACTCATCTGGACGTCCCCCTCAGCTGGGGGAACCTTCAGATTGGACGCAGATGGGCTCGTGCCGCGGTCCTGTTCCCCGGTCGTCCCAGTAGGTGCATGCTGTTCGGCATCATCTTTCTGAGGCTTGGGGTTCGCCTTCTCCGCCAGTGCCTTCTTGATTTCCCGTTCGAGAGCCAGGACATCCCCCGTCCCAATCTTCCCAAACTGGTCAAGGTACTCTTCGCGCGCGATGCGCAGACAGAGCCAAGCCCAGCGATGTTTGTTCTGTGCATGTTCACACTCAGTAAGTAGTCTTTAACCCGTCCAATCGAAATAAACTTACCTCCTCGAACTTATTGATCTGGTCATCATTAATGGGAATAGGATCCGGTGCAGGAGATGCAGGTACGTCCACCCTTACGGGCGGCACAGCCGGTGGGTTCGGAACGGGCGCGACAATCGCCGGCGCAGCGGGGGCGGGAGATTCCATGGACGTAGTGCCCGGTTTGGGAGGCAACGGGTGGTGAAGCGGCGGACTGGCAGCATTGCCCGGCGTTGACCGTCCCGCATCTTCCTGCGCTGGCACAGCGGGCGCAGCCCCGTTCGCGTCTTTCACTGGAGGTACTGGCGTATTCGCTTTGGCCCTAGCCTGCGCGAGTCGTTCGGCGGCCCGCGCCAGCGTCTGCCTACGCATCTCGATGCGTCTATCTTCCATCTTGATCTTGCTGGCGTACGTGTCGATGGAGCCGGGGCTGTTTAGTATAGAGGGTCGTCAATAAAGACATGGTTGCGTCTGCTAAGCGGGAAGGAGATACGAACTCCGGGCTTCGCTCTAAATCTCTGAGGTCTCGGTATCCCATCGCCCAAATCTCCGTCAGCGGCGCCGACCCCAGTTTGTGTTCCCATTCCGGCGGTTCCTCCCTCATCTTCTCCCTCATCGGCTTCGTGAACTCCTCCAAACCCACCTTCCTTCCGTCCACCAGTGCCGACCAAGGCTCTTTGTCGAACACGGGGCACAGCTTGTTCTTCCAGTCGACCCAGTTCTTCTCGCGCTCGAGTATCGTCTTGACGGTATCGCGGAAGAGGACGCCGTTCGGGAAGGTGGAGGGGAGGAAGTCGCGCGTGACCGTGTCGATAGTCGTCTGCACCCATTTCGCGTTCTCCTCGTCAAGTGTGAAGTCCAGTTGGAGGGAGCGGTTCTTGAGGGACATCCACGATGACTTGGCGGATCTGGTAAAGGATAATAGGTAGTGCAGTAGGATTAGCAGTTGGAACAGGAATTGCCGACGGAAATGTGTGTCTGCAATCTACATGCGAATGAGCATTCTTCACGCCACTTGTAGTACCAGCAGAGCCTCACCTCGAGCTCGAGCAACTCAGGACTCGTCAGGTACTTGGCGAAGAAGTATTCCCTCGAAACCTTGCTAGTCTCTTCACCCGGCTCCGGCACCCGTTTCCGTTTCAGGGACCTAGAGGCCCCGTTCGCGTCGCTCGACCTGCTGCCCATCATAGCCCGCTCCTTGCTGGTCGCCTCCTTGATCACAGGAAGCACCTTCTCTACCGCACTCTTGAACGACGGAAGGGTCTCCGGGTTCACGAACAAAGGAGGGCGGGAGAACGGGCGTTGCAGCGACCAGAATAACGAGTAGAAGTCTACCGCGCATCAGGTTGACTGGGATAGAGCATTTGCGCGCTTCGCTTACCAACACTTTGCTCCTCCTGCTTCCGCGCCTCCGGCTCATCCACCTGCATCTTATCCTCCGCAGGCGGCGCCACCCCTTCCCTCTCCTCTTCCTTTGTCTCGGGCTGCTGATCCTTCTTCAACCCCGGGCCGTCCCACATGGGACCATAATCACCCCGGAGATTGACGCCACTCCGCTCGCCCAAGGGGAATATCCCGCTCAGAAACGTCAGGATGCGGCCACAGAAGACTGTCGTGTTCCCCATTTTCGACAGTCGTCGCAGGAGGTCATTCAGAGCGCGCAGGAGGATGAGTGCTTTGGCTTTCTGGGGAACCATGTCCTTTGTAAGTCGGTCTGCGCGCTCTTCGATCCATGAGAAGATTCGGGAGCACGAGCGGATTGTCTGCGTGTCCAGAAGGTCTTGCAGGACTGTTACTGGGAATGTCTGTTCACAAGCATCTAAATCGGTTCTCAATATCAGCTTGCACTGGACGTTGTCATAGCGGGCAAGGACCAATGTCCCTCCACCAGACGTGCTTGCAGGGGACGGATACGAGAACACATTACTTGTCCAATTCTTACTGGAACATGGGAGGCATAAGAAGCCCTGCAATGTTTGGATACCACGGCCAATGCACCGCAGACCCTCATTCAAAGGACATTCGTCATGTCCGGGTCATGGTCCAGCAAGGATGGTCTTAGGAACGTGCTCTCCCAGCATTCACCTGCAGGACATCGGACTTTCCCATAGTGTGTAGCAGTGTACGAACCTAGCTCGGTGAAGGTCAGCACCAAGTCCAAACGGTCCCGTAGTCGGTCATAATAGTCGGTATTCGGATTCTTCAAAGCCTCTCCTTCTGTCGCCTAGAAGTTCTAAGAGATTTTACTTATTGAGACGATAAATTACTGCAATACGCACTGCGAGTTTGAGTATCTCCTCCTTCAACCGGAACTCCCACCGCGCTTTCCGTGTCTCGCGCCCGTCCTCCCCGCCTGTCTCCTCCAATGCTTGCTGCACTAGCGCGTCAAGTTCCTCCTTAGGAATCGAACGGGATGAAATCGAGCTCATAAGCGTCTTCATAGCGCTTTCTAGCGATGTCATAACGAGGCGGTCAAGAGGTGGCGGCGGTTGTGGCGAGAAACAAGACACGCTATGGGCGCTAAACATACGATTCCTGATTCGGACTCTTTGCTCCCGACCACCATCATGGCCTCCAAAACGGACACGAACGGCGTCGACCTCGCTCAGATCGACGCAGCCGCGGCGCCGCCCGAGCTACAAGGTGATATTGCTCTTCTGGCCTCATTTTTATCGGTGTCGCGGCAATCGACAGACGACCTGTCGGATGCGGATATCGCGGAACTGCTGCGCCAGCTGGAGGCTGCTACTGGGGTCGCAGAAGGCGTCGAGAGCCGTCTGGATGGTATTTTGGGTAGCTTGGACAGTCTTTTGGAAGCGTTTAGCGGGAGTGAAACGGTCCAGGATTCTGTGGGGACGGACACAAAGGATTCAAAAGAGCCCAATGAGATACCAGCAGACGTAGAGAATGAACGGAAGTGAAGAGATGAAACTAGGCTGTGCTCAAGATTGTAAGTTACAACGATTGCGAGGGGGCTAGCTATGGTACACTGAGAATGCTTCAGCGGTTAAAACCTTCGATCACTCCCCTTAATACGCTGGCTTATCGTTGGGTTGTGTCTCCTTATTGACCGAAGGTATATCACGATTTACACCTGGGGTTTTCGGACGACCTCATCTATACGCTTTCCCCCGTATTGTCCCTCTCGTTATACGGCGTCGCTGCCCTCTATTTCGGTATGTTTCTTGAATATCTGATAGCGCTGACTTTTCTGACTCTCGCAACAATGATAGCTTCTTGCATTACAGGCTGTTATATACCCCGGAAACACGTTATACCCCCGTACAGCACCAGTCTCCATAATACTTCCACTTGCACCGCCAGATTCCCTTGCGCACAGTACATCTTGCGTCTGGGTGTCGAAATTCCAGAGTACCAGTATCGTGGTGCTTAGCACTGTATTTTGATAGTAGTACCGCATCCTGCGACAAGAAATATCTGCTTTCTGTGGTTTTTCCGAGATTTTGGGGCTTCTTGTGCGACCGTAGCCATCCGGCCCGCTACCCGGAGGCTCTTGATAAATCCTGCCACTTGCCACAATATTTGTTGGTTGAACCCTTCTGCTATCGCACAAATCGCTGGTAGATTCAGTATGTCGGGTACAGTTCAATATATAGCGCATCACGCATCCTTTGAGGCAGAGATAAATATCTGAAACCAGGTCGCGGAGCTTACTACCGAAATTTGTACGGTGGTGGTCGTGGCCTCGGGAGAGGCAGAGGGAATGCTCCCCCGCAAAGTTCACAATTGGAAGCGCACAGCAGGAAGAAACTGCGCTCAGACAAAAGTAAGCGGACTTCGTCATCATGCGTTCGGGTACCTTACTGACGAAGAGGACCAGCTCTCGGAACTCATGATGACCTCGTCGCTCAACTCGGGCATATGAACGGTAGGTCTTACCCTGCCTACCGGGATTTGGAAGGTAAGCGCATATACTTCAAGTGAACCAACGCTTGCGTCAATCATGAAGCACAGGCTGCTGGAGATACCCCAATGCGTCTCTGTACATTGACCACGTGCAAAGTGATCCATTCGCCCCGCCGAGCAAACTCAGGCTGCACGTCGACCATACGACCGCGCAATTCCCTCCATCATTGTACTCCACACCTACCCGGTACGTCTATTTGGTTGACGCTTGAGATGTCTATGATCTGGATGAAGTGCAGCACCATCGCCTTGTGTGACTACTTGACCCGGGTAGTATCAGTATTCAGCTCAGAAGCGACGAGATCTAAGAATTGGCATGGCGCCAAGGGCGGATACATAACGATTGACACACCCGGCCAACAGGTGCTGCAACGGAGCTCAATCACGCTTGATGGGGAGGCTATCACTGTGTTATTTACATATGGCTTTCCAGCGCAAGGTAGGACGGGCGAAAATATGAGAAGTTAATGTGATAATCCAACTTATCCTGCTCGCCACAGGCCGGACGATACTGGGCGAAATGGCTGCTGAGACATTCCGCACGGTGATTCCGCAACTCATCAACAGCCTCCCCTACAAAACGCAAGACAAGCACAGGCTTCAATCTTTCGTCGAGAGCATCGAGGACCAGGAGTTCCTCCGCGAGGAAATGAAACGGTCAGGTACGCTTGCCTTTCCTAGCTGACCGACCATGTCGTACCCCAACCCCAACTCTATCTATCCTCTACCCTACCCCAGGGTTAGTTGCCTTCGTGGCCAACGGCGCTATCCTCCCCCGAGCCTCCGGTGCATCCGACCTGCCCATGACCAACCCCGAAGTGGTGAAGTTCCAGTCCCCGGTCGATTTGGAGTGCACCTTTATCCTTCCTAACAGAGGTGAGATAAAAGGTATGGGTGTCCCAGCTGGGATCACCCTGATCGCCGGGGGAGGGTTCCACGTAAGCCCCTGGGATATTGTACCCACCTCCATGCATCCGCTAACTCATTTCAGGGAAAATCGACCTTATTGAACGCCCTCGCGGTTGGGTGTTATAATCATATTCCGGGAGGTACGTCGCGGCGATAACCTAGGCACAACGTCCGGCTGTATATACCGAAACGTTCTAGACGGCCGCGAATTTGTGGTCACTTCAGCCAGCTGCGTCTCTATCAAGGGCGACGAGGGGCGATCCATCAAATCCGTCGACATCTCCCCGTTCATCAATAACCTCCCCGGCAATGTCTCCACGACCGATTTCTCGACGCAAAATGCAAGTGGGAGTACGTCGATGGCCGCAGGAGTCATGGAGGTGCAACTTACACTTGCGGTATCGCCCCGTATTTTCTCATCGGTCCTGTTTCAGGCTTTGGAGTTAGGCGCGGATACGCTGCTGTTCGACGAAGACACGTGCGCCACGAATTTTCTTATCCGGGATAAGAGGATGCAGCGGCTGATAGAAGCGGACCCCATTACGCCGCTGGTATTCAAGGTAGGGCAGTACGACAGCGTCCATGTTCACCACTCATGTCTCTCAGGTCCGCTCCTTGTTTAATGATCACAAAGCTTCCTCTATTTTAGTCATCGGCGGATGTGGTAGACTCAATTTCTTGTCGTCCAAAGCTTTATGGGGACTAATGTGCAAAATAGGGGATTACTGCGACGTGGCGGACCTCGTCCTCGAGATGCGCGAATATCGCTGCCACAATGTCACCGACAAGGCGATGCGCATCGCAGCCGAGCTCCCCTCCGCGGTTGCGGAGTCGGAAAGTGAGTCATCCCTCTCGACTGAGCGTCTTCCTCGCTTACGATGCCTTGACGCGTCGCTAGCAAAGACCTTCGGCCGCGTGCGCCATCGAAATGTATACTTCTTCCCCGGCCAGTCCAAGGCCACCGCGCGCGGGCGCACCTCCGTCCAGGTCGGAGAAGAGCCGCTCGACCTGTCCGCGCTCGTGCAGATCGTCCACGACAGCCAGACACGCGCTATCGCGGGAGCCCTGCGGCGCTTCGCCAGTCACGGCGAGCCCGTCGGGCTGGCCAGCGCTCTGCGCCAACTGCAGGAGATTATAGATAGAGACGGTCTGCACGCGCTGGACGAGGAGGGGCACACGGACGGGTTCCTCGCGCGGCCGCGGCTGCTGGAGCTTGGGATGGCAGTTGATCGGATGGTAAGTGCGAACCCTCCCTTTGCGTCCGGCGGGTAAGGCTGACGGACCTGTTTCTGGGCAGCGATCCGCGAGGGTTCACTAGCAATCACTAGCTTCTATCTGATGTATAACCTGCAAGCCAAATGGGCCATTGCTTTTCCACAGAGCTAATCGGCGCTGGATTGGCAATCAATGGACTTGTCGAATGGGTGAGAGCAAGCCCGAGGTAAATGCACGACCGCTTACCCTTATTTGAGAGGGGTGCAAATCTTCTGTGAAAGACCGGCCTAGTCAAGGCCTTCTGTTCACTGAGGCTGTGGACTTGATTAGGGCGCATTAGAGCACAGTCACTGTATATTCTCTAACGAACAGCAGCTACGCTGCCACCACAGAATGCTCCAACAAGTGGCGAATCTCACCAGGAGCCATAGGTATGAGAGCTCCGCCAAGCGCGCCAACGGCAACCTGGTACTCGTTCTCGACGCCCACGCCATGCTCAGCCACCCGCACCGTATACGATGCCACGTACCACGCGCCGTATTCTTCCTCATCTTCGAGTTCGTCCTGAGAGTCATGTACGAACCGCCGACCGACAAGTGCATTGGGATCACTCAGATAACGGTTGACATCCTCCCTCGAGATGGACTGAGGAGAGATGGGAGTCGCGGGCTGGTCGCGAGCAGGTGGTTTATCAGCCGTCCTCTGACGGGTAAGCCGGGCCGGCATGCTCTGAGGAAAGAGGCGGGCAAACTCCGTCTGGTAGTACGTTTGCATCCTGTACGAGATAACAGTGTGAGGACCCATGAATGAGTAGTAACGGGGCGACTGGAAGGCAAATACGAACCTCTGCGTCCTCTTGATCCGATATTCCCGTGACAGGTCGGGATGGTCTGCCAATGCGAGCATCACCTTGTACTCATTAAAGACGATCAGGGCCGCGGCCGCAAGATGGAGGCGGCTGACACGACTGTCAAATAGTCAGAACAATAGCATGGTGCGACGTGACACAGAAACATACTCCTCGAGCGACTTCGGAGGCGTCAGTTTAGCAATTGCGGCATCCGCGGGGATGAGATGGTCATCGGGATTGCCACCCTCGGGTACGAACGACGCGGGACTGAGGAAAGGCTTGAGTCCTGGTCGCGCATAGAGCTCAGCTAAGATCTCGTCGCGGCGGGTCGCGTTGTGGTGCAGGTACTCCGTGTCTTCTGCCGTCATACGCAGATAATAACACGCTCTGTCAACGAGGGCGTCGACGTCGACGGACTCTCTGGAGACTTTGTATACGTCGAGCGAGGACATCCTGCACGGGGTGACCAGGCTCGAGACACGAAGAGGTGGCTGACAATGGAGGACCCCTGTCCTGGCGTGAAGCCACAACGCCTGAATTAATGGACTTGTAGCCACATGGCCTGGTTAGCGCCGGCCCGGCATCAATAGACGCGTCCTGGCAATCCCATCCCGACTCCTTCGAATTCATGCCCAGCTCTTCCGTCGTCCACGCCGCCGTCTTCGCCGCGGGCGCCCTCGTAGGCGGCGGGCTCGCCACCGCCGTCGGCGCGTCCAGGAACCGCAGCCAGCTTGCGTCTCCGGCGACCAAGCCCGGGTCCGCGCCTGTCGTGGACGTGAAGGTCGAGCCGTCTGGCGCGACGCGTGTCTCGCCCACGGGTGCGGCGGGGACGGTGACGCCCCTCACACCTTTGCCGGCGATATTGAAGTATGGGAATCCAGGTGAGTGCGGGCGGCTTGGGATTAGACGCGTTGGGGTGAATTCGGCGTGCGTAGGGCCAATAGCGGACCAGTTGGTGCGGACGGCGTATGTGGCGGGGTATGACAGGCGGCTGCGCCATCCAGCTTGGGTGAGCAGATATATCATGCTTTCCGAACGTCACGGCTACATTCTCTCATCGGGTACGCATAGACAGCAGAGCACTTGACGCTCGCGAAACTCGGGAAATCGCTCCTCGACCCTCCGTCCCCGGAGAGCGAGGGCGGCGACCGGTCAAACAGCACATTCACAGAGGACGAGTCCCTGCCTGCGATGTTCCGCGCCAGGCTGAAGGACTACTTCAGGAGCGGTTACGACCGCGGCCATATGTAAGCAGCAGGTTGTTTTGTCGTCTCTGAGACGAATGTGTACGGTCTTGCTCTCGCAGGGTACCTGCAGCGGATGCAAAGATGTCTCAGGTATGGATGAATAGTTTCCGTCGAGTCTGTGTTGCGATCTGTAATCCGACCGTCACATAGACGGCGATGAACGAGACCTTCCTCCTATCAAATATCGCCCCTCAAGTTGGTGAAGGGTTCAACCGGCACTGTACGTATCCCCCACACCACCATCTCCAATCTCTCCTTACTCGACCCCACATGAACGAATAGACTGGGCATACCTCGAAGACTGGTGCCGACGCCTGACCGGCGCCTTCGCCGACGTCTACGTCTTCACCGTCCCGCTCTACCTCCCAAAGCAAGACCCAGACGGGAAATGGCGCGTGGTCAGTATCCCTCTCCGCGCGTCCCCTCACCTCTGACTCATTCACCCTGGATGCAGACGCACGAAGTCATCGGCAACCCGCCGAACGTCGCGGTCCCCACGCACTTCGCCAAGGTCGTGCTCGCGTCGCGCCCCTCCTCGCCCGCAACGCCGACCATCCCCGAGATATCCACCGGCGCGTTCGTCCTCCCGAACGCGGTCATCAAGGACGAGACGCCGCTCGAGTCGTTCGTCGTGCCCAGTGCGTCTCCCCGCATCTCGTATATGCATATGCTAAACATCCCCACTAGTTGAGGCCGTGGAGCGCGCGGCGGGGCTCACGCTCTTCTCGGACGAGGTCAAAAAGGGGTCCAAGCACATCTGCCAGACCGCGCGGTGCGAGGTCGTCGTGCGGCGCTTCGACGACGCGCGGAAGCGCCCGGAGATGCGGAGGGCGATCTCGGCACCCGCCAAGTAGGCGGTAAGGGAGAGATGACTGCGTATTCACTCTTACAGGGTACATACATTGGAGACCAGTACAATAACAGACAGAATGGGGTCGATGGGACTAGGGCTCAACACGTGCAAGCGCATAAGCCCCAATGGCAGAGAATATCAATCTGATACATTCATCCGGATCATCCGGTGCATGGTCACGGCCAGGGTAGTACCCTTGAACATAGGCTCTCCTTTGCAACGCACGAGCACGGCTTCTTAGTTGCCGTACCGCATCCTGCGAGTCCAGAGCAGGCAGATTATGCTGGAGTACCAGATAGCGAGTGAGCTGACAAGTTTAAGCATGGGACGTGAACTTACAGGGGCCTCCGTGGGGTCATCCCCGCCAGGAAATGGGACAACTTCGTAATGTGCAACTGCCGTGTGTGGTTCGTTGCGATTCCACATCTGTAGAAATGCATACATATTTGAGAAACTCCCCTGACATGCTGTTGATAGCTTACCAGGGCCGTGACACGCCTGTTACGTCGTAGCTCACCCTGGAGCTCATTGAGCCGCCCATTGAGTCGTTGATCCATCCCATTGAGCTGCTGATCCATCGCATTGAGCCGCTGATTAAGCTGCTGATCCATCGCATTGAGCCGCTGATTGAGCTGCTGTTCCACCTCATTGAGCCGCTGATTGAACTGCAGACCGATCTCATTCAGCTGCTGATGGAGAGGTTGCATAGCAGCTTGCACGGCAGCAACCACAGCTTCTTCGACATTCATTTGCGGGAAACCTAAGTCAGCAGGTGAGCCAGGGTGCAAACAACGAGAAGTATCGTCGTACACACCGACTCTCGCCGCAATGGTCTGCACGGCGTACGTCGCCGTATTACACACATCATTGGAAGTGACCGCATACTCAGATTCGGCTAGACGGGCTGTGTTTGAATTACAAGAACATTACAGATATGTCGGATAGTGCTCACAGGCATATTTGAGAGCTGTATAGGACAGAGAACACGCTTTGGAGACATCGGAAGGTGACGGGGGATCCGCAGGAGCAGGTGGATATTGGAGAACTTGTCGGGCGCTTTCTGTCAGGACAGGGAGATGCACTGGCATGCTGGGATGTGTGGGCAATAGGGGTGTTAGATAGAGTAAGAAGTAAATCTTACGACCGATAAGTTTACAGTACGACAGTACGGTCCCATGCAACGTAACATCAGTGATGCATAGCCATCCTTGCCACCACTTCGCACGCGTGAAAGACCCCGGGCTCAGTTGCTTTCATGAATCTCTGAGCCCCTTTCGTCATTTTCACGAATATCTAATCCTTACATTCTGCATGCGAGGGAATGCAAGCGTGTACATAGGTGTACGTGCAAAATATAGTGTTAATGCGTTCCTCAAGGTATCGTTCCCCTCACCCTCCGAAGGGTGATACAAGGCAGCATAATAGAATAACGAGAACGTAGTAATAGACGCCGCCGTCCTGATAGAGCCGCTGAGCGCTGAGAATTTCGAAGACAATATTTCAATTCGAAGACGAGAATTCGAAGCCCCGGTCTATGCCGCAGAGCTCACCAATAGGACTGTAAAGCGGCGGTTGGGACTGTAGACTTACCTTCACGAATCTAGCTGAATTGGGGGTCGTTTTGGCGCGGTTGCCCGCCAAA